TTGTGGATGAATCACAAATTAGCACCATTTAAGCTTGAGAAGAGCTTGGAAGTAGTCCATAATATTATTTCTAAATAACCTCAAATAATATAATTCCTATTATTATCATTTTTTTCCTCAAAACCTAAATTCCACAATTTCTTTATTATATAAAAATCAAGATGTTACAGTGTATAAGTACGAGTAATGATAAGTATGCTATGCATATGTCTTAAATGGATTTGATGAGTTCAATTATGCATACTATGAATTTAATACTTGATAAATAGATTGCAAAGAACTTGTTAAGTATATGTATGTGCATGAATAAGCATGGATTGCATTGCATGATCATATGAGGTGAGAGTTAGCTTACAGGAAGAGAAGTAGATATTAGAAAAATCCACATGATAAGATCACTATTCAGAGATCAATGGCTTGCCTTTTATTTTATTTGCCTTACTTATTTTTTAAGGGACTTGAACCTAGTTAGCTTCCACCAATTCATAAGGAGTCTAACTTAAGGCCACGACACTCTATAGTTGTTAGTATTAGAAAAACTGTAACTCATAAGTAAGTGAAGTAGCATTAGCCAAATAGCTCTTCATAAGTAGAATGCTTAGGTAGCCCGATTTCATGGACAAAGCCCCTTAAATAGCCAACAATTTCACGTCAAAGGTATCAAGATGGTATAAAAATAGCATTAATCATGCATATCATTATATGGCTATATGGTTGTTATTATCGTGACCTTGCATATCCTATTGACCATATAGTTGGTATTATTATGGTCTTACATTTTATATTGAAGGCTTATGGTTGTTAGTGTTGTGACCCTCTTACATTCTTATTATTAAGTCATATGGTTGTATGTATTATGAATATAATTGATGAAATGATTTTTGTTGATAATTTATGGATAAGTGATAATATGTTAATGCCATTTTTATCATTATAATTGATTAACATATATTTGTATAGGCTATATTAACATTAGTTATTGAGTGTTGTACTCATTTCTCTCTCTTTAATATTATAGAATCTAGCTTGAGTAAGAATCAAGGAAAAGCACCAAGTCTTAGGATTCGTTAAATCTTAACTATAGGCCTATCATAAATTTAATTATGTATATTTTGTGATAATTTGCCAACTAGGTCATCACATAATTTTGACTACTTGTACTAATAAGGAGTTGATTTAAATGTATTTTTGTATCCTGAGCTGTGTATGACATATTTACAAAGTCTATATAGGGTTGAATATTAGTACAAGTAGGAAAATGTGTAAATGTAAGAATATCATAAAATATGTGTCAATTTACCAGATTTAGCATCACCCACCATTACCAGATTTAGCATCACCCACACATTTTTAAGATTAAGAGGTTGCGTACTCAAAATGTGTTGTGTATATATTGGATTGCTGTGATGTGTGTTACACAGGTCTTTTCAAGTTATTGAGTGTGATCTAGGGGATGTTATAGTTTTTTGTCATTTAGATATGAAATTGGACACTATAGTTGTGTTTTGATTGAAAAAGAGTAGGTTTGTGAATGGGTGTCCAACCTTTTAATGATACAACGTTTTGTGAATGAAACTAATGCCATTAGTTGGTATCCTAAAAGAGCTTTCTATATACACATAGATTATCTCAATTAGATGTCAGATGAAGAAATGAAGCCATTGGAAGTTCGCCCTAAGAATTGTCATTTGACAATTTATGCTGTCATGATTTATGCAATGTGTTACAATACATGGCACAAAGAGGATCGTGACGGGCACACCTCTGTTTTATTGCACCAATTTGTTGTTTTCAACTTAACTACAAATGCTTTGTTAAAAAAAATAAAAAATTATTCCACGCTTCTATGAACATATTTTGCTTTGATTTTCAATTTGTAAAGATACTTTAAAGTGTTTGAAAGCTTAAAAACTTGAGATCTTATTTATATAAATTATGAAAGCTTGGTAATTCCTTTTGGGTTAATCCCTTAAAGTTAAATTTGGATTAGTAAGGATGACCTTACATGACTAACCCAAAAATGCTACATCTATCGCCATTAAACACACTTTCATTGCTGTAGAAGCCTCGTATTAGAACAGATTTATGTAGTATAATTTTCCTAATTTCTAATGCACCTAATTAATTGCTTGGACCTCCGATTAAGGTGATCCAAGAACTCTCACATAACTAAGTAAGAAATCTAACTTATGACTTTGGTTACAACTCAATTCGGTTCCAAATAAGGATCTTGAAACATTTAAGGCCAAACAAGCAATTACTTCCCAAAGGCACCTCAACTAAGTGTTTCCCCTTATAATGCCATTTATCAATACCATCCACAATCATAACTCATTCATGCATGAATATGGTATATCATTAATCTATAAGAGTAAGTAAAAACATCCATCAATAGGACACATTTGCATATTAGGCCTTTTTTCAAAAAACATAAGGCCACCATCCAAAATCACTTGCAAATGATCTATAGTTAACAAGTTACAATTATCTTATGTTGGCAAAACATAAATTCAATTACAAAATCAAGTAACGGCAGACTCTAGTACTTGGCCTTAGAGGATTCCTTTTTGTCCTTTGCTTTAGCATCTCTCATAAAGATATAAGTAATGGGGTGAGATTAAACAATCTCATTAACCAAGTAATTTAATTAAAGCATATTAAAATGTGGTAGACAATACCGGTAAGCAAATAATATTACATAGACAAACCATGCATTAAGAATGATTACACCTATAACTTTATTACACATGATTAATACAACATCTTTATACCACTTCTTATATCATATGACTGAATCCATAGGCTAATATATTATATAGGTCATCTTATGTGATTAAACTAGCTCTGCTCTCCAATTGTGATGAGTCACTTAGCCAAAGGCTCCCACACTCACTCTTGAACCACAGATTCCCTCTACTCAAAATTCAGGAGTGTCAAAAGTGCCTGAGCCACACTATCTCCTTTAAGAGCCAGTTATACTAGTATCGTGCTCGACCCATACTATACCTATAGGACTATTGGCAATACTAGGAACTTATGTAACATGATTTGTCAACCAATGTGCACAAACTTAGCAGGGCCACACCACGTGAATTTTTTACAATATATCCTTATACTAAACTAGGGTGAACTCCTATCCATTATGATCATACAAGTTCATTCAATAAATACAAAACAATTCTTGTATGCATATCTCAATAACTCAACATTTTTATAATTTCTAATACTTGCATGCTCAACACAATTCATACAACATCATTTGCAACAACTCCTATCATGTTCACATAATCATTATAAAAGCCAATCTAAGCGCAACCATTCATGTTCCAATATCACATTACATCTATATAAATATAATCACCAAGCACCTCATCACAATGAATCATGCTTCATATTTAGGCAATAGTTCAAAATTAACAGATTCATTGATAAGCTCATTTTGCTCATTTCAAGCCATCTATAATAATATTTAAAGTACAATTGCAAACACAATAATATGTTATAATTAAATTCTCGGTTTGCTCCACTCTTTGGCTACTACCCCAAGAGTCAATTTTAGATTTCTCGAGAGAGCTTATTCGAATACAAGCTCCAAGCACAATCCATTTACAAAAATAATCCAAAGACAGTATTAATGACTAATAATCATTAATTAACCCTTAATCACGATTAGAGCCTAATACCTTCCTTAAGTATGATTAACTATAACTAGCCCCAAAATTCATTTCCATTAGTTTATTTAACTTCCATTAAGACTATAAATCACTGTTAGCTACTCCCATTAATTTAAACTTGATTATTTAACATTAGGGCTAACTCTAAATCCTTTTTTAATGGTATTTAATGCTACCAACGACTAAAACACAGATATAGAATCATTAAACAACTCTCATAGACTTCATTGGAGTCATAAAGTGGCTGTAACTTAAGCATAACTTCAAACAATGCCTCCCCATTACTAAAACCAGAAAAAGAGATGCATAAAGAGGTAGAAGAAGAAGAAGAAATAAGGCTTACCCAATGATTTAGAGGTTTCAAACCACTCCAACTAGCAAAGCACTACTCAAACTCTTTGATTCTTAGAGATTTCTCCCTTTTGCTAGCTTGAGCTACACGATTGAGATTTAAAATTTTGAATTGTCCACCACAGCACGTTGCACAGCAAATGGCCTAAAATAGACTACATCACTTAAGTCCAAAAATCTAGGCTTTAAAACAGCCTATTAGCCTTTCTAACCCTTTTTTAACCTTCTATATTGTTTAATAAGTCTAAACAACCATCTCAACTCTATAATTAACTCTTAATCATCCTGATTAACTAATTCAATATCTCAATTAATTAATTTAACCTTTAAATTAAAATTTAGAATATTACATGTGACCTTACCTACCTCAACCTGTCGAGCTTAATTTCATACCCTAATTAGGTTTAAGGTTAGGCAACAAGTAGCTATCCCGATTGCTCCAACCCTACCCATGTATGGCCTTAGCATGAAATAATAATCATTACTTATATTGTGAATTGGAGGGAGTACTTGTCTAAAAATAAATAAATAAATTTATTATTTTAGTGACACTTACTTGTCAACAATATTCAATGATTCTTATATAACATAGAGCATACTTGTGAGGTCATGGTCCTTACACATATTTTTAAAACTATAGAAAGAAACGTTACAGACGAATAAAAATAAAGAGATCAAGAACAACAAAATAAACTTATAAAATTAAAAATAAAATATAATCAAAGTATATAGACTTACTACTATATTGTCTGTAATTATAAGTATTAAAACTATAATCCGGTACATTGACCTCAAATTAGTTATGTTTCGAACCGTTTGACTCCTATCTGTATCAGTGATAATTAACAATTGCTTTTTATTTTCAACCTTTTATTAGAGAAAACCTTTAATTAGTCGTCTTCTGGTTCGAGTCACAAGTCATTTTCAGGTGAGAATAATTGTGAATATAAATATATACTAAAAAAAAAAACTATTTAATAAGCCGAGACGCAATCCTCGCGAGACTCCTAACCTGTAGGAGCGTATAAAGTTTCTCGTGGATGTCAACACTATCGTCATCATCAGTGGAAATGGCGACGAAGCTTATGCAAGCGATTCAGTATGATAGCTATGGCGGTGGCCCCGCCGGTTTGAAGGTTAATTTTCTTCTTCTTCTTTGTCGGTGACTTGCAATTCTTCTACATGCTACTTATTTTTTTGAGTTTTAAATTGAATCGCAAAGCTTATAAGGTTTCTGTAGATAAATCAAGGAGGAGGAGGTACTTACGCTCATGTAACCTGATAATTACTCTTAGGGATTGTAATTTTTCTTCATTACCGAAAAAATAAAGAATTGTAACTTTCTTGGTTGAGTCTTTGTTGGACTAGTTCAGTGTTAAAAAAATAATAATAATAAGGAAAGGCGCTGCGTGTCTGTGCAAGCAAATTTTTTTTCCCAATAATACCTGTTAAGAATTTCAACTTGGTATCAAAGCTTTATAAATAATTAAGAACGGACCAAGTCATTGGGAATTTGATTTATGCGGCCGCCTGTTCTTGCAACTAAATTAGATTTAATAACAGGATCTGGTTGGACTGTGATTTATTCCCGCTTCCCGTTCAAGGTTTTTCGTTTGAGGGGGCAAGTCAGATATATAAATAAAATCGTTCTTTGACTCCCTTTTGGGATCCCCTAATGCTCAAATCTAGAGTCATTAATTCCGAATCCTAGGTTGTATATATATATATATGTTATTGGGTCTTCATCTAACAACTCAAGTCTTGGTATGAAGCGGTCCTTGATAATGATTATCTCTTTCTCTTTTGTTTTGTGCATTTGAGATTGCTTTAAAAGATTGCTATGCTTACTTTATATTTGTAAGCAGCATGTTGAGATTCCAGTTCCTACTCCAAATAAAAATGAAGTTTTGCTGAAAGTGGAAGCAACTTGTCTGAACCCTGTTGATTGGAAGATTCAGAAGGGGGCGACACGGCCTCTGTTACCACGAAAATTTCCCTATATCCCTTGTAAGTTGTTTTTTTTTTTTTGGGTATTTTGAGAAGGTTTTGATCATTGTTTGTATTGTTACAGATGTATTTTGTAGTTAGCTTAGCTCTCAGAATTTGTGATGAGTTATGTAGTTTGGTTTTACAGTTTGTGATTTGATCAACTTTTTTCTTGGCCAGTTGTGTTATATCTCTCCATATATATATATATATATATATTCCTTAAAAATCTTTATGTTCTCATATTTATTGACCATAGGAAGATTTAGCTTCCCTTATTTGAATTCAACATGTAAACAGTCAATTCCCAATTTCTGACAATCTAGACACCAGGTACTTTATTAGAGTCAAAATCTCTCCATAAACTCCAAAAAAATTGCGTCTGTCACTGAATCTAGAAATTTGAATTGGTTTTACTGCTTTACCGACCAGGCATGTTTTGATGCAGGAACTTCATACTTCAGTATTTTAACAATTCATATACTTTGTTGTTCCTGAGCTGTGAACAGAACCTATGAGTTTGGGATTATGGGTTAGGGGTTCTAGGCAATATTGAAGCAAGAACAGCTAGGATTTTTTTTTTTTTAAGAATTTTTGTTTTTATGGCTGTCTTGCTAAAACAGTAGATTTGGTCTGATCTGAAAGTCACAGGAAAAGAGAGCAGCAATTTAAGATTAACATAGCCATAATACATTGTTTTGTAGCTTGGGCTCTTTTGAAAATTAATTCCATATTCACTGATTCTGTTAGCCGATTATGACAATTGATTGGGCTTTGTAGTCAAGTAGTCAGCTACTGAAGGCCCCTATTATATAACGAGTCAGTAGTAAATTAAGTAAAAGCCTAGATAACTGAAACAAGCTAGAGATCATCCAACAGAACATACGAAGCACATATGTGGACATCGACACACTAACATGTCACTTGTCTATTTCAAAAAATATAAATCAAAAAATATAAAACACAGCATGCCTATTTGAAATTTTTATTTAGTGATCTGCTTTGTTAAAAAGCCCAGCATCATCCTATCTTATTATATTTATTCTCAAAAACTCGTATGAAATATAAAGGTATTAAATTATATTATTTTAATTATTCATGTACAGCAAACAAGCATAAGGAAGAATTTGTATGAGCTCATCGAAATGGGAGTCATGTTGCTCCAAGTTGTGTCCTAGCAGTGTCCGAGTAGAGCAAAATAATTAAATGTCTTGTCTCACTTGTCCAATGTGCCATCACGCCTGAAAAGTTCATGTCATTTTGCTTTGTTATGACAAAACTGCTCCTGCAGAACCATGAGTAAACTGTTTAACACCATAACATTAATATACTAACACCTTTGAGACTAAATATAGAATACTAAATAAAATAAGTCAGGATAACTTCATACTATAAAATTCTAAACAGGTTTTGTTGCGTGCATCATGCTTGCTTACTTTGGATGTTAAATTGGTTTGTTAATCATGGGTTATCTGTTAGTCATTTTGTTTGGCCTGTTCCTCTAAAATTCTGGGATCCATTGTACTTCTGAATTAAATTTTTGTTGGAAACAGGTACCGATATAGCTGGAGAGATAGTAGAGGTTGGACCACAAGTCAAAGATTTCAAAGTTGGTGACAAAGTTGTTGCTAAACTCGCTCACGATGTAATCTTCTCTCTGACTCTGTTCTTTCTTTCTTTGATTTTTTCCCCAGATCTCTAACTCCTTTGATATTCTGATTGTTGTTGGATAATTATGAGCTTGAGTAGATATTTGATTGGTAACCGGAAGGGAAAAAATGTATACATGGAAAATAGAAAAAATCAGTTGATTGCAAATTGCCCCATATGTTCAGTTTTTCAGATCCGTATACTTCTATCTGTAAAGCAAGGAGCTAAATGTAATAATTGTGTTTTATATCCACCTTGCTTGTGCGCTGATCCATTCATCTTAGTCCCTCTTAGGGGGGTATGCTGTGTGTTTTTTTTTTATTATTTGCTATCTAGAAAACCCTGTGATAATGCTACATCATTATTTTCATGAGTTTACAATCTGTGTCAGTGCGTTGTAATTACATAAAATAATACATTTTTACAACTGCTGTTCATGTTGAATGACAGCGTGGGGGTGGACTAGCTGAGTTTGCTGTGGCTAGTGAGAACTTGACAGCTTCAAGACCACCTGAAGTCTCAGCTGCTGAAGCTGCAGCGTTACCCGTGGCTGCACTCACAGCTCACCAGTCCCTCACTGAAGTTGCCGGAGTCAAGCTTGATGGAACTGGCGAACAAAAGAACATCTTGGTAACTGCAGCCTCTGGTGGCGTGGGTCACTGTGCAGTTCAACTGGCAAAGCTAGGAAACACATATGTAACTGCCACCTGTGGGGCCCGCAACATTGACTTCGTCAAGAACTTAGGTGCTGATGAGGTTCTTGACTATAAGACTCCAGAAGGAGCTGCTCTAGAGAGTCCATCTGGTCGAAAATACGATGCAGTGATACATTGCTCGACTGGAATACCGTGGTCCACTTTTGAGCCTCAGTTGAGTGATCATGGGAAGGTAATAGATCTAACTCCTGGCTTGAGTTCAATAGCGACTTTTGCTCTGAAGAAGCTCACATTCTCTAAGAAGCAGCTGGTGCCGTTCTTGGTATCAGCCAAGAAAGAGAACCTGAGTTATCTGGTTCAATTGGTGAAAGATGGGAAGCTTAAAACTGTCATTGACTCTCGTTTTCCTCTGGGTAAAGCTGAAGATGCATGGGCTAAGAGCATCGATGGCCATGCTACTGGAAAAATCATTGTGGAGCCATAGACAGAGTTGCTTGAAACTGCCGGATCCTGTTGTGTGTGCATACATATACATATGTACGTATTGAGAACAGTAAATATGTATTGTCGTGTTGAAATGAAGAGCTTGATATATCAGCAAGACGGATGGTTTAAAGTTTTAAACACTGGTGGCTTTTGAACTTCAGTTCTGTAAATTATGAATGTGTTTTATGGTAATGATATTCCATACGTTTTATAGAGGATTGCGATTGAACTTTTAGCAACAGGATCATCTGAATTCTTTTAGTCAATTAAATTGTGCGTAATAAATCTGAAATGATAGAATGCAGTCGAACATATTGTTTGCAGAAATATCCTTGACTTGCTGAAGACCTCATGGTCGGATTTAGGCATGCAATATCTGCCAACGTGAAATCAACAGATGAATAAAGTCTTACAAAACTGTTCGAAATATCGAATTAAAATTCGACTTTCAACATTTAACAAACACATAACAAAACTGCAACCCCTTCCAATTTTGAATTGAGTTGAGAATTCAGAAACTCTTTACTTCAGGGGACAATTTGAAATGCTTGTATTAGTCTGGAACTGCCCTTTAGCATGCTTGAACATTTTGTTGTCTGATAAGAGTGTTATTTAGTAACGCTCTACTTTTTATTCCAAGCTTTGGCTTGCTTATGTAATCCAGAAAAAAGAAAAAAGGAAAAGAAAAAGTAAAAAAGAAATGCTCATTTAGCGAGAAAGATATACTAAACCACTTAAGAATAGTTTTAAATTTTTATCACCTTATCATGATCCATTTCACCATGTAATTTACATAATATAACAAAAAAAAACTTTTTATATCTCTTGATATAAAGTATTTCTCTGATTCACAATATAAATTTTTTCTCTAAAATTTTTTTATCCAAAATAAAAGTCCAGTTCAATAACATTTAGAGTATTTAATTTTTTTTTCTTTCTCTATTTAGCTCTTATGTATAGATTAAATATCGTAAGTAATGTAATCGTTAACTACTCTTAATAGTGCTTTAGTAAAATATTACAATTTTTTTCTTTTTTTGACATTTTTTATGAACTAACTTCCATTTAACCATTCTCATTGGCATGCATGCAAATAGGTAAATTAGACCTATGTTGTGGATGAAAAGTGTGTACATGTTAGTACTTAGTTAAAAAATTAATTATATTTTTTAAAAAAAAGAAAAAAGAAAATGTAAGTAGGCTGAATCCTGTAGACTCACTAGAGTGATGACAAGCTTTTAGATTAAAAAAATGTTTATAAGTCAACAATTAATTGTCCTAAAAACAACGCCACCTCCCTCTTTTAAAAGAGGTCTTGAGTTCGAACCCAATATTGATATGCTCATGTGAGTGCATGTGTCTCCCTTTCATATAAAAAAGGGTTAGGTTGGGGATAAAATTTAAAAAAATATATTTATAAAACTAAACACAAATTAATCACAAAGAAACTTCTCACATCTCACCTATGCATTTGTGGCTGTCGAATATCCGTCGTATTATTACTAATTGAAGCAACCTTGGTTAAATGAAATGATACATTATTATTACATGGTATATATACACAACTGGTTACACTTGTGTCTCTGAGTTTTGTTTACCTTTCATTCAGCAGAGTCTATGCAAATTAGTTTTTGTTTGCTTAATGCCTTAATCATAAGAACACGACATTTCCTTCCAATCCAAGTAGACAACCATGGCGGATCTCTATACACAACTTCATAACCAGCTTTAGAATACAATTTGCGAGCACCCCAATCTTCTTCATAGGCTCTAAGGACCAGAAACTCAAATCCCCACAAAACCGATAGCACATCACAAGCTTTCAACAACGCAGTTGCTACCTTCCTCCTCCTGTTCATCAATTACCCACACAATTGATTATCCCCTTCTTTTTTTCATACAAGGATTTTTTTCATTTATTTTTGTATTAAATATTTATCTAAAAAACAAATTGTCAAATGTGAGTGCGCATTTATGTGTGAACGTATAAGTGTAAATGTACATACATTCAAGTGTATGCATGCATGTGTGCTACATGTGAGAGTGTGGTTGTATTCTTTTCATGGACATTAATTTTCATAACCACGAATCTTTTTTTGGCTATCCATGATCATCAATATAAAATATAAATATCTAATAATTTAATTCTCATAATTTTGACTTAATTATAACTTAATTTTTTAACTTTAACTAAATTCCACTTAGTTCCTATAGTTTTGATTATGATGCAACTTAATCTCCAAATTTTAACTTATCATAACTCAATTCCTTTAGTTTTAGTAATATAAACCATTAATCCCTAAATTTCAAAATAATATTAGTATTTATAATTTTATTTTTAAAATATAAGAATTAATATTTTAAATCCTTAAAACTATAAGAACTAAATTGCATCGTGTCAAAGTTCAAAAACTAAAAGGTCCGTTTGAATTTCAATTGGATATAATTGATTAATATTATTGATTTTAATTACAAATTTATAATTGATTATATTATAACGTAATTTATTTGAATACTGAAATTAATTTTGCTGTACAAATTACCATAAAGGACATTACTTTTTAAAATTAAATTATTGATAAAGTTGTATTTAATATCATTAAATTTGTTAAACTTTATTTAAGAAGTAAAATATATTATTTAACAGTAAAATTGAATTTATAAGTAACCTCTAAAAGCTTATTTTAAAATGTAATTTTAACCCAATAATCAATTATAATTTTTTTGGTTGTTAGAATAACTTTCATTAAAAATTCATCAATTTTGGCCAATTTTATATCCTATCCAAACATGCAATTATTGTAACCAAGTTAAAACTCAGTTTGAACGCAAATACAAGTGTGTCAATTTTCATATGTATGCATGGACATGTGTGGGTTACATGTGAGTGTGGTTGTATTCTTTTGATTGACATTAATTTTCATAATCATCAACCATCAATATAAAATATAAAAAATATATATATCACGCCACGATATTTTTAAATTATAAACCGTGCAACTCACTTGGATAAGAGAGATAGATCACGGATTCCACTTTTGACACGAGCCACACTTCTTCTTTTTTTATTTTTTCTTTTTTCTTTTTTTAATGGATCTCTCTTTCTCACATAGTTAGACTTTTAGGGTATATTTGGATACCCTTCAAAATCAATCATGGCTCCTGAAACCCCGTTTTGAAAAGAAGCCACCCAAACGCCCCAATTTTTTTTTCCATAAACTTTGTTTAGGCTTCGAAATTTCATTGTGAGAGAAGCGATTTTGAAACTCTATTTGATAATGAATTTTTTTTCAAAATCATTTACCCTACTAAAATCAAGCACGCCCTTCAAATTTCCCTGGATTTGAATCACAACATGGTTCTTAATATAGTCATCACAAGCAAAAACAATATGGTGATATTAGTGTTAACTTGATCACCTGAAATTTGAGGAGACAGCTATTCCTGAGATGTAAAGATACTCTTGTGCCTCAGGAGGGAGCAGTTGAAGCACATTTCCATCCCTAGAGGCAGTCACATCTACAACACCCACAATTTGCTTTGATGAATCTGAACAGATTGTGGCTGCCTCAGCGACCAGGCAAGCATACCTATTAATGTTATATTTTAAAATGAAATATGGAGTTATATATATGACCAACAAAGCAATGAAATATGAACAATACTTGTCTCAAACTACATCCATCTTATCTTAATTTTAATTAATTAGGTCAGTTCAACATTTTGATCCATTTAGTCCACAATGTGAGGGGTGAATTTTGTGTTTTTGATCAGATATTGAAAGTTGAAAACATTTTCTTCAACAAATATATAGAGAAGCGAATAGATGTGCTGATTTGCTAACTCATCAGACATCCCATGATAATTTTGATATTATGATCTTAGATAATCCGTCACCTGATTGTATTAACCTCATGATTCTAAATGTAACTTGAGTTTAGTCTCTTTACATGGTTTTTCTGTGACTTTATATTAAAAAAAAAAAGCTGAAAACATTTAACATTGGTAATTAAAAAGTCAAGTGTCTTCTTACAAAAAAAAAATAATAAAAAGTCTGGCGTTTATACGCGTTACATACAGCATAATTTGGACAGTCGAAATTGTACAAGATAGTTTTTTATATTTAAAATTATTTTAAAATATGCAACGTGCAAAGTAAAAATAATTTTTTGATTGTAAACTACTAAAAATAATTATTTATAATAAAAATAAAAAATTGGACAGAAAAAAAAAATGTCCTGATGACATAATAGCTACATACATATATGTTGTTGTTTTGCTAGTGCTGACACAAGCCAATATAAGCAAATAGGACCAATATTTGCGCGAGTGTGTATCGGCAGGCCTTCAAATTTTTTATCAACAATGATTTTAATAATCAATCTTTAGTCCAAAAATAACAAATTCAACCTATAAGAGTTGGAGATTAAATGAAAGAGAATTTATTTTAGAAAAAATAACAATAAAATTCTCCTAAAATATATAAATAATAAAATGATCTTTTAAAATATTATAATTCTACTGAAATCTTTAAAGACTTTTCTGTTATTGATGAATTTATATAAATAACTAAATTATTCTCGTTAAAAATAAAATGATTCACAAGTCTTATTTAAATAATCACAATTTTTTTTTATATTCACAATGCAATAGCAAATTAAAAATTAACATGCAAAGTTATAATTTATTATTGCATTATTGTCAATATAAGAAGAAATATTGTGATTACTTAAATAAAATTTGTAAATCATTTTATTTTCAACAAAGAGCAATTTGATTATTAATATAAATTCATTAATGACAAAAAAATTTCAAAAATTTTAATGAAATTATAATATAAGAAGGAATATTGTGATTATTTAAATAAAATTTGTAAATCATTCTATTTTTTACAAAGGACAATTTGATCATTAATATAAATTTATTAATGATAAAAAAATTTCATGAATTTTAATGAAATTATGACATTTTAAAAGATTAAATTATTAATTATATAATTTAAAAGAATTTTATCATCATTTTTTCTTTACTTTATTCTGTGAAGCCTTCCGGGGAAAAAAAAGAAGAAAAAATTCAAATTCACCTGTCACGAGGAGAGTTTTTCAGCTTGTATAGGAGGCCAGAAAGCACTTCTGCCTACAAGCACAACAAGAAGACATTAACTAGCCAGCAAAGACAACGACCGAAAAGAAAATTGCATCTGATAAAAAAAATATTTTCATAATAATAGATCATTCATTTAAATTAAAATAGATGTCATGCTTTACACGAATTTTTAAAAAAAATAACTGACTGATGATAGTATTCACAATGCATAAATCGTGTGGCTTGATAAAGTTTTGATATTATGTATATATGTATATTGGTAAAACAAAAAAAAAATAATATTATGATGTTTCGTAAAGATATATGTTGTTCTGATCACATGCTGTGAACATTGTGATTATGATTCATCTTAAATTCGGTGTGAATACATAGGATCACTCTAATTTCATTATTAAAGTATGATAACAATTTAAAAAGATATATTACTTATGGTACTATAATTTGAATTAGTCCAACACCTACGGAATTGCTTATGAAAAATATGATCTGATGAGTGGCACAAGTGCAGGCAAATTAGCTTAATAAAAAATGTGGAATGAATTAAGGAGGCGAACAAGTTTGTAGCTTACTTAACCCAGAAATACAACAATTACTTTATATATTATATAATTATGATATTATTTTTTTGTAAATACAAATGTACATGACACATAATTCAAACGTTATTCTTTTGTTTTATCTAAAATATTTTTTCATAACAAACAAAAACAAAATAAACTAGCTGATTTTAGTTTTTGGAGAAAAAAGGATATAAGTAAAATTTGAAAATAAAAAGAAATTTTATTACTACTGTCACTATTTTTCTATAAAAAAAAAAATGAGAAGGGATACAAAGAAACTAAAACAGTTTACATTGAGGTAAGATCAAAAGAGAACTTTCTCTCATCATCCACCATGAATTTTCCATATAAGTTTAAAACGATCAAAGTTTAACTTCATAAATTCAACTAAAAACTTCAAAGCACATTCATCCCAGAAAAATTCCACTGAAAATAACTAACTTCATAAGTTTTGGCTTGGCCGAACCGTTTTTCCAGATTGAAATTAAAAAAATTCATATCAATATCCCAAGTTCAAGACAAGCTGATTGATCCAACCTGAAAAATCTGGAAGAACAGAGAATTTTTGGCGGAAAACTAATGTGACAGATTTTTAATAAAACGAGCAAACTTCAACTTCAAATCAAAGGAGATTCATCCAAGAAAAATACCGCAAGGAATTGATATAACTAACTTTACGAGCATTGGCCGAAACATTTTTCAAGATTGAAATGGAAACAATTTTGGCAATATCGAAGTTCAAGAAAAGCCGAACGAACCTGAAAGAACTGGAAGAACAATGGATTGAAGAACGAGACCGGAACATGGAAAGCTTCAGCCTGAACATTCGCAGCATTCCTGATCTCCTCATCCTTCTCCACAAGTCTCCTCACTCTCCACCCATTCTCGCACACCAAACACTTAATCTCATCATCAACCACGCTTATTCTTCTTCTTCTTCCTCCTTCTTCCGCTTCTTCATTTCGCTTCTCGATCTGCAATTCCGCAGAAACTACGCTTGACGTTGAACACCTGCTGTTACTCGCTGTGCCGCCGCAGCACTGGCCAAAACGGTGTCGTTTCCTTCTTCCATTGTAACAACTTGCGTTTCTAACACCATTAATGGAGGATTCTGAGAAGAATAGTTTCAGTGAAGTAGTGGGGTTGGGAGCTAGCAAATGAGCCATAAAATGACGTATTAAAAAAAAAATGAGCGCTAATTTAGCCAAAAAATGTAACGTTGAGCAAAACGAGTTGGGGTTTTGGTGGTGAGGGATTCGTGTTTGATTGAGGCCGTGAGTTATAGATGGAGGGGCCACGTGGAACACGGTGAGCCAAGGGAAGCTGTACGTGTTTTCCATGGAAGATATTTAATTGAACGCGAACGACAAAACGTTTTGGGCCTTGGAAATTTATGCTGTTATTATTTGAAGGTTAATATAAACATTTTGGTCAAAAAAAAAGGTTAATATAAACATTAATTCCTATCTTGCAAAACAAAAATATTCCAAAAGCGAATGGGTTATAGTTTTAAAGAATGTGGGTGATAATTTCATATGCACTAGTAATTAACTGATTTATTTTTATACTTTTAAAGTGATTATTTTTACGTTTTAAAATTATAACAAAATACTCAAATATTTTGTGAGGAGTTACATGTGTCCTCAATTTTATTATAAAAAATAGATCATATTCAATTGTTTATGAGGATCTATATATATACATACACACACTAAAATGAGGTATTATGGTAAACGCCTCTTTGATTTTGTATCTATGTAATCAGCAGAGCATGTTGTTTGTACTTTATACATAATGGCGTTTTGAGTGCTCATAAAGTTAAACACATTTTTTTGTAAAGATTTGCATGCGTATGTGGTCTAGTGGAAGATTGTTGACATAAAATTCAATATATGATGGCTATATATATAAATATTAAAAAGGTGCGGCCAAAATATGAATAAAGTGATCTATATTGTAAAAGATACAATGTTCAGCCTATTATTTTCCTTCATGCACTCACACATTAAAAGTAACGAAAATTTTGAAGAGAAATGCAATTAACTGTTTAAAAAAACCAAAAAAGTAAAAATTCAATTCCAAAAATCATTATTTCTCTTATTTTATTTATAAATCACTTCCAACATATTTTATTAATATTAAAAAAATTAAATATTATTAACTTTATTTAAAAATATATTAAATTTTCACTTCTGTTCTTTAATAAGGATAAAAAAAATATTTTTAATAATTTTTCTTAACATTTGAAAATAGTAGATAGGTAGAGATAAATTTAGAAAATAGTGAAATACTTTATAAATAAAATTAAAATTAATTTTTTTTAATGTATAAAAATGATCACATGAGTAACCGTAAGTTTGCCACTTTGCTCCATCTTGGTTTTCTCGTAATCCAACGTCCACTTCCCAAATGTTCATACAATAGAATCAAACTAAACACCATGAGTCGATGCTCTCTCTATTTCTATATATAAAAAAAAAATTATTTCAAAATACAAGAGGTTATTATTATCTTTTTTAATAAATAAATTATTATATCTTTATTAAATTGAAAAGAGAAAAGAATAAGTACTCTTATTAAATTTACTTTAAAAAAAGATTCATTTTTTTAATATTTAGGGACAAAATTAAAATGTTGTTATACTTTTAATTAGATAATCAACTTTTATTAGTTTGATTAATAACAAGACATTGGGACGTTTAACAAGTAAAATAAGTGATGTTTTGAAACTCTCAATTTATAATTATTCATGTTAGATTAACAAGTGACATTCGTAAAATAATAACAATTCATTTAAAATTAACAAGAATCTATTATAATTTTAACAAGTTAGAAAAAATAATAGGAAGGGTTTAGTCATTCGCTGACAATTATCTATTTGGTTTTGACAACAATCTATTCGTGATTAATAACAAGACATTAGGACGTTTAACAAGTAAAATAAGTGATGTTTTGAAACCCTCAATTTATAATTATCCATGTCAGATTAACAAGTGACATTTGTAAAATAATAATAATTCATTTGAAATTAACAAGAATCTATTATGATTTTAACAAGTTAGAAAAAATAATAGGAAGGGTTTAGTCATTCGCTGACAAGTATCCATTTGATTTTGACATCAACCTATTCTTTCTAACAAGTATCTATTTAGTTTTGATAACAACCTATTCATGATTGACAACAAGACACTGAAATGTTTACAAAGTAAAATGAGTGAAGTTTTGAAGCCTCCAATTTATAATTATCCATGTCAGATTAACAAGCGACATTTGTAAAATAATAATAATTCATTTAAAATTAACAAGAATCTATTATGATTTTAACAAGTTTGAAAAAATAACAGGAAGGGTTTAATCATTCACTGACAAGTATCTGTTTGATTTTAGCAATAACCTATTCGTAATTAACAATAAGAAATTGGGATGTTTAACAAGTAAAGTGAATGAAGTTTTGAAACCCCCAATATGTAACTGTCCATGTCAGATTAATAAAAGACATTCGTAAAATAATAACAATTGATTTGAAATTAACAAGAATCTATTATGGTTTTAACAAATTAAAAAACTGATAAGAAGTGTTTAGTCATTTGCTGACAAGTATCCTTTTAATTTTAACAATAACCTATTCATGATTGGATAACAAGACATTAGGATATTTAACAAGTGAAATGTGTGAAGTTTTAAAACCTCTAATTTGTAATTATTCATGTCAAATTATCTAATGACATTCATAAAATAACAAGTTCCGTTCAAAAATTAACAACACACATTAGGTTATTAGATAGAAGTGATTTTGTGCTTAGTTTACTACTTATAATTTTTTTTGACATATATATATTGAAGGGCTTGGTGGTCATTTGCTATTTAGATGATCAATGGTCATAGTATCAAATTCACCTTTAGCCACCTAAAAATCTTAGTTCTGAAATAAAATGTCATCAATGACCTCACTGCTAGTGAAGGTCCAACAATCGGTGGTGGTCGACTATCGACGACAGTGGAAATTTTTTTTTTAATCGAGGGACATTTCAATCTTATCACATGTGAAATTAATATATTAAAAGGATCAGAGGGTTACAATGATATGATGAAATCATTTAGTCTTTATCAGATATAAATATTATACAGTGGTCCTTAAATGCTATTCTTCCTTTTTTTTAATAGATTTTAGACTTTGATGCACTAACTATACCCAATATAAGTTTAACTCAATCTTCAATCTTTCATTATCAAAACCTAGAATTTAATAATATCACAACACATGATGATAAAAGTCAAATAGCATAGCTTAATGCCTCATTGACTCATCTCTTATTTCAACAATTTCGATATCTATTATTGCTATCAATCACAAAAATAGTTAAAAAAAGTATGGTCTCCACAATCCATAGTGAAGAAATTTGTATGTTTAAAATAAATAATGAAATCATAATTAAGGGCTTTGTTTTTTTAAAGAAAACTAAGAAATCAAGACTGACTTGACTTCCACCAATAAGATCATCCATGGTTCTCAAAATCGCATGCGATCTACGCTTTATCTTCTCTCTTTATCTACTCTCCTTATTTGATCTACTGTTCATAAATAGTAAAAATTAATATTAAGGGATTAACAAAGTTGGATCTAATAAAAGAGACTAATCTTTTACAACATGATGAATTAGGGTTTGAATTTTCACTATAAGAAGTATCTACATTTAGCGTTATGATTGTACTTCAAATAGAATCACCCCTAATAGGAGGATACTCATACATAATAAAAAAATTAATATATATTATATAATATATTGCCCATATTCATTTCACCATTTGATTTTTAATTAATTTACTCTTTTTTATTTCTATTTATATTTTTCATCATATTAGACTCATATATTTATTTTAAGATAAATTAATCATTTCATCTTTATAGTTTTAACCTAATTGAAACTCAATCTCTAAACTTTAACTTGTTATAATTCAGTCTCTAAATTCTAACTCTTATAATCCAATCCTTATAGTTTCAATCAAATAAATATTGGTTCTTATATTTTAAAAATAAAATTATAAATGTTAAAATTTATTACTGATGTTTTTAAATTACTATTTATAAATATTAAAATTTTAAAATATTTTTAATATTTATAATTTTATTTTAAATTTTAAATATAAAGATTAATATTTAAATAGTCGAAACTATAGAAACTGAATTGTAAAAAGAAAAGTTTATAGACTTGAGATCTGTTTGCTAACTTCACTTTTAACTTTTAAAAAATACTTATTGACACTTTTTGAAAATTAAAAATTGTTTGGGTATAAAATATATGATAAAAGTATTTTTATGGATGTGCTCTGGAAAAGTCATTGAATGTAAATTTACCCAATTTGATTATCCTTAGCTTTTGAGACATACTTTTCAAATGTAATTCATTAATTTATGATATGACCATGCTACCCTTGATTTTTATATAAAACAATTACAGGTAATTTTTTGATAAATTACATGTATAAATAACTAAACACACACTTATTACAAATGTGAGTTAAGATGAGGTTGAAATGTGAATTTGCCAACTCTATTTTTTGATGAATTTGAAATTAGAGATGGGAGTTGAATTGTACCTACTTTTATAAATTATCATAATACTCTTATTATGTTTTAATTTCTTTCAATATTAAACCATATATATTTTATTTTTGTTATTTAACATATTAAATTTTATGTTATTTCAAATTTTTTTTCTATTTTTTAAATATTTCTAATATATTATATTTATATAACAAAAATTATCCATTATTATAAATTAATATCTTTTTTTGTCATTGCATAATCAAAAGTACATTTTAAAAGCATAATTTTTTATTAATCCAAATAATTTTTAGTTTACTAGACTGACTTTTAAAAAAAATATATTAAACATAAATTTTGTTGTAAAAAACTTTTTTCCTAAACTGACTTTTGTCAAATAAACTTTCATTATATTGAATTTTGACAAACTGAAAACCAAATACACACTTTGCTACAACCAAGTTAAAACTATAAAGATTGAGTTATAATCGAGTTAAAATATAAGAGTTGAGTTATAATAAGTCAAATTTTAAAAATTAGGTTACAACAAGGTCAAAATTACATAAACCAAATGATTAATTGTTCCTTTATTTTCATACTTTTACTTTATTGTTGTATTGTATTGTAGTTAGTAAATCTTCTTAATTATTATATATTATAATTGATAAATTAGGTTATATATGT